CTCTCTAACAAGCCCAACAAAGGAGGTAGGAAACGTGCCTTTGTAAAAGAAGGAAGATGGAAAATATTATCATTCCTATGCCTGATGCACTATCATAAAATCTCCATAGAAATTGAATTAGTAAATTGTGCCAACCTAGCCAATAATCACATGTGGGGGCTAATTGAAAGGCGGAGGGATAAATGCGTGGTGAGTCTCACCTTTCTAGTTCTCGGGTCTCTTGTTTCTGATGGTCGGACCAGGGTGCAGTTGCCTTAGCAGTTCCCTGCTTCAGCTTGCAAGATTGACTTCCTACAAGACATCCCCAAGGAGAAGCCACATGGACCTATCCCGATGCAGCCCTAGGTGCTGGAGCAGCTGTGTGGAGACCCCTACTAGTGCTGAGATGCTTATTCGTGCACTGACTCAGCTTTCCTCCTGCAGTCGGCATCATTGCCTCTGTTTTGTGAGGTGGAGGACTTTGTGGACTGGTGTTGGGTTAATGAGTTAATGTTGGACTGGTGGGCTTGGGCAGCATTGGGTTGGGATGTTTTCGTGATGCACACTTTCTTTACATAAAACTCTCTTATACATGAGTTGCTGTGGATTTGTTTCTCTAAAGTACCTAGACTAATACAGAAATCAACCCAAAATCTGTGACATCCACCAATGATGTCCTCTGCAAGCCTGTAGAACAAGCGTAGTTCTACGGCCCCAGTGCCACCTCTGCGTTGATCTTTTCTAGGCTCAAGGTGCTGAGGAGCTTTGCCTCCCCAGCCATCTGTCATCTTCTGTGGCTGCTCCCCGGCCACCAGGTGCTGCGCCGTGGCCCTGTTGGGCCCGTGAAGCCTCCCTTTGCTTCTCCAGTTTCCATTGCTTCTCGGCTATTATTGCTTTGCAGCAAGTCACCAAAATGCAACGGCACAAGGAAAACAACAACTAAAAGCTCACTGCCATCAAGTTGGTTCCTACCCGTATGGACCCTGCGGGCTAGAACTGCCCTTGTGAGTTCCCGAAACCATACATCTTCCCCGCCATCACGCTCTCAGATGCTGTGGATCATGAACTCAGACAGGGCACAGCGGATGTGCATCATTTCCGCTCTGTAGCATCTAGATTTCCACCCAGAAGTGGCAAAATCAGAGAGTGACTTGATGTCTGGGGGTTAGGATCAGCGAGCATAGGTCCTCGGAAACTACATAAAACAAAAGAAAAGAACAATACTCAGCACATCTCCTGGCATTATACATTTTTTATGGTAGCACATAAAAAATGGCTAAAATTGAGGTTGAAAAATCCTGCCACTCTGAGTGAGTCTGGCTGTCCCAGGCAGACCGAGGTGGACAACTCGAGTGCATCAGCGAGGGAAGCTTGCTCGAGCCCAACCCCAGGTGATGGGCTCACCCACAGCTGCATGCGCCATGTCTGCCCACCAGCTCGGCCCCTCCTCCCCCTTCCGTTGCATCCTGACTAACATTCACCTTAAGAAGCAAAAGAATCAAAGGGGTCCAAGAGTTTTACACCTCAAGCTTGAGGTGTAAGTGAAGATCACGTTAGCCTATGGAAAGTATATGAATTTGAATGAGAGGTGTACGCATTAGATGTAGATCGGTTCTCAAAAATGCTCTGGGCACTGCACTGGGAAATTGTGCCTGATTAACATATTCTCCAGTTCCGCAGGGCACAGTGGCTCAGGACATTGCAAATGCCACTGTGTGCCTTCAGCTCAGTGAAATGCACCCACTTTTTATCTGCTGTACACTCATGATCCATATGTGTGCCCATGCTAAAAAAAATGGTGATCCAAAAGAATGCATAAATTACCACACAATATCATCAATACCCCACACTGGCAAAATTTTTGCTGAAGATAATTTGAAAATGGTTGCAGTAATGACAGGGAAATGCCAGAAGTTCATGTTGGATTCATAAAATGACGTGGAACAAGGGACAGTAGAGAATACCTAGAAAATGTTTACCTGTGTTTTATTGACTATGAAAAGGTATCAGCTGTGTGAATTATAACACTATAGATAGCATGCAAAGAATGGGAGTTACAGAACCGTTTGTTGGGCTCATCTAGAACCTGGATACTGACCAAGAAGTGGTCCCTTCAACAGGACAAGGGGATCTGGAATGTTTTAAAGTCGGGAAAGGTGTGTCAGGGTTACATGCTTTCCCCCTCCTACTTCAATCTGTGTGTGAACTAAGAGCCCAAGAAGCTGCACTATATGAAGAGAAATGTGGCTTCAGTGTTAGAGGAAAGCTCATTAACAACCTGTGATGTGCAGAGGGCACAACCTTGCTTGCTGAAAGCAAAGACTACTTGAAACACTTATTGATGAAGGTCAATGACCCCAGCCTTTAGTGTGGGTTACACAGCAGTGTGAGGAAAACCCCAATCCTCACAATGAGACCAATAGACAACATCATGACAAGTGGAGAAATGATTGACCTTGGCAAGGATTTCATTTTACTTGGATCCACGATCAAGGCTCATGGAAGCAGTGGTCGAGAAATCAACTGGCATAATACATTGGGTAAATCTGGCACAGTTTTCTTTTGGGTGTTAAAAAATCAAAGATACCATGTTGAAGGCTCAGGTGCACCTGACCCAAGTCATGATGTTTTCTGGCACCAAATATGCGTGCAAAAGCTGGACAATGAATTAGAAAAATGCTGAAGAATGTACACCATTTAATAATGGTGTTGCCTAAGAATATTCAAAGTACTGTAGATAGCCAGAAAACACATAAATGTCTTGGAAGAAGTATAGTCAGAATGCTCCTTAGAAGCAAATATGATGAGACTTTGTTTCACATATTTGGGGCATGTATGGGGCATGTTATCAAGAGAGACACAGAAAAAATCCCTCACTGCCATCAAGGCAATTGAGACTCATGGTGACCCTTTAGGACCGGGTAGAACTGCCCCTGGGAGTTTCTGAGAGTATGTTTCTTTATGGGAGTAGAAAGCTCTATCTTTCTCCCTTAGAGAGCTTAGTAGTTTCGAACTGCTGGCCTTGTGGTTAGCAGCCCAACTTGGGACGACTGTGCCACCAGAGGTCGTCAGGAGAGAGCAGTCCTCGAAGAGGGACACTGTGTTTGGTAAAGTAGAGGATCAGCCAAAAAGAAGACCCTCGCTGGGAGGGAGCGACACCGGGGCTGCAGCAGTGAACTCACCTACAGTGGCAGCTGTGAGAATGACGCAGGACTAGACAGTCTGGTTCTGTCGTGCACGGGGTCCCTGTGGAGCCAACTGGGCGGCGCAGCAACCGCGAAAGACACTCATGGTGCCTTGTTGAGCAGAGGCGGATGAAGCATGTGAGGCTGGGGCAGACCACAGCTTGGGAGAGTCCAAGGAACCTTTGGAGACAATCCATCCCGGTAGGGATCGACTTGTTTGCCCTCAAAAGAGGTCTTGTAACTCCTAACTTCTATGCCTGTGGTGATACGCTCACTTGGGAATGGGTTGTTTTAATTTTGTCAATGGCGCAGGGTTAGCGTAGGTTGTGCTGTGAGGCAATGTTTTAAAGATATAAAAGGGGCATATTGAATCAATGGAGAAGGGGCAAGGTAGATGCTGAGCCACATGCAGATCTCCAAGAGACCAGGAAAGGGAAGCTGAGGAAACAAGGACCTTTCCTCAGAGCCGACAGATAGGGAAAGCCATCCTGTAGAGGTCAGGCTTCTAGCCCCCTAAACTGCACCCCGAGTGCAGACTTCTAGCCTCCTGAACTGTGAGAAAATTAATTTCTGTTTGGTAAAGCCATCCACAGTGGTATTTCTGTTGCAGAAGTATTAGATCAGAAGACACCATCCCTTCATTTTGAAAAGAGAGAAATCTCTTTAAGATGACAGAAAACACCCTCAAGGCCGCCAGGAGTTCAGGCCTGCACTAGCTACTTCCTGCCGCCTGAAAGCCAGAAGACAATGATGTGAGCATGCGCAGCCCTCCGGAGTGATAGCACTGGAAGCCGCCGGGTCTTGCTCCCTGGAGCTCTTGACTTTTGCCATAGAAGCACACAGGTGAACGTAAGGATCGACCGAAGACGGGGGAAGATAGACAGGAATGGCCCCGTCAGTTTGGATGGCTTCAGTCGAAATGGCTTGAGAGCATGGCATAGGACAATGGTAGAGTGGTGTGCAGTCATTAACTACTGAGAAGGAAAGGAATCTCAATAGCACTACATAACGGGGATGAACGAAGCAAAATCAAGCCAGGAAAAATTGAGTGCATATTCGGAGACCCTGCCGACCACAGGCTCCCACAGGGACGCCTGGACACGTTCTAGAAGCTGCCTTCTTTGTTTGGGCAGCAAAATGAACCCACCATGCTGCTGCTTCTTGCGCTTCTTCAGTGTTGGTGATGACTTATAGGATATATATACACACACATGCACTGATACTATTCAAACACTCCTACAGTCATGAAAATCCCTCCCCCTAAGCCTGTTCTATCCTTTTAATTAATACCAAAAGCAATTAAATCATGGTGCGCTTCCATTACCTGCCAAGTTTTGTTATTTTTAAAACGCAAGAGCCTGGTTTTGGATTTTATCATTCCGTCCAGGTGCAGCCTTCCAAGGTGGTTGCCTTGGTCTCCCCACAGGTGAACGTTCAGCCAGGCAGCGTAAACAGCCGACTCGGAGGGGCTGGATTTCGCTTGTCAGACTCTCATGCAAGGGGTGGCACGGCATCCGGCAGTCTTCCCCAGAGGTCTTCTCCAGGAGGAGCCAGGAAAGGGACAAAGAAACACGGCCTTCAAGCTCCTCGTACACTGCAGGGGTCCCAGGTGCCCTCCTATGGGCCTCCTTTCTTTTGAACACCGAGGGAACTGGTAGGCCCCTACGGCAAGTTTGAACCCACCAACCTTCAGAGGAAAGGCGAGGGTGTCTGCTCCCATAGCTATGCACCGCCGCTGAAATCCTACGAAGCAGTCGGAATCAACTTGAGGACTGTGGGGGGGCGGGTATTTTTTGTTAGGTGACATCTGGGAAAACTTTCTATTTGTTCTTCTAGAAAAAGTTGCAGCCCAAATCAGATATGGGAAGTGTGGAACTTTACTACCGGCAAAATCCGGAAGGCTCTTAAGTACCAGGCCCAGGACAGCTTCATGACGATGGATGATGCCGTCCTCTGCCTGTGCTTCAGCAGAGATACAGAAATGCTAGCAACTGGAGCCCAAGATGGGAAAATCAAGGTGTGGAAGATCCAGAGTGGCCAGTGTTTAAGGAGATTTGAAAGAGCACACAATAACGGTGTCACCTGTCTCAGTTTTTCCAAGGAAAGCAGTCAGATCCTGAGTGCCTCTTTTGACCAGACAATCAGAATTCACGGCTTACAATCTGGGGAAACGCTGAAGGAGTTTCGTGGCCATGCCTCCTTTGTTAACGAAGCAACATTCACACAAGACGGACATGACATCATCAGTGCATCCTCTGATGGCACTGTAAAGATTTGGAACATGAAGACCACAGAGTGTTCCAACACCTTTAAGTCCCTGGGCAGCACTGCGGGGACAGACATCACCGTCAACAGTGTGATCCTGCTTCCCCAAAACCCAGAGCACTGCGTGGTGTGCAACCGATCCAACGCGGTGGTCACCTGAACATGCAGGGCCAGATCGTCAGAAGCTTCAGCCCCGCTAAGCGAGGAGGTGGCCACTTCGTGCACTGTGCCCTCTCCCTGCGTGGCGAGCGGATCTACTGTGCGGGAGAGGATTTGGGGCTCTACTGCTTCAGCACGGTCGCCGGCAAGCTGGAGAGAACCCTGACACTTCACGCGAAGGATGGGATTGGTATCGCCCATCATCCTCATCAGAACCTGATCGCAGCCGACAGGGAAGACGGCCGCCTGAAGCTCTGGAAAGCTAAGCCCCTTTCCTTTGGGACTCGCGGGAGCATGCGCTTCAGAGGAGGCAAGTCGTGTGTGCTGCTCTTTCGTTTCTTTTTCTGTTGCCAGCTTTCCTAAGAAAATAAATCATCTGAGTAAGCCACACTCAGAACACGTTTGTGAAAATGCACATTTGTGTACCAGAGACTTTTTGTTGTATATTTTTAAGGTATTATGGGAAGTGGGGAGGGGTGGGGAGGGTTTTGTTCATTTTGGTTAGACTCTTGTCGTTATCAATAAAGTCCCCCAAATAAACATCACCAGAGACCTAAAAGATGTTTCTTCTGTAGTGGGTCATGAAAGGCCTCAAAATGTCTAATGCATACTCCAAGGGCAGGAATTTTCAAATGCTATAAGCCAGGCAGTATATCTGAAGAGTTATTAACAAAAAAAAGATCCAGTGTTCCAATTAATTAATAGGGTTAGTTATCATCAATCCCATGATTAATATTGATAATGAAGAAGCCACAAGTTCCCTAGGTACAAGTTAACCAACCTCATCTCCTTTAAGGGAAAGATCTGTTTATTTAAGCTTTAAACTAAAAACATTCCCTGAAGTGTTTTTTAAAATCAAGCAATCATTTAGCTTAACTAGTAAAAAATGTCTGCCTTGATCATCATGCTCCTTTAACAACTATTCTTATGGGATCAAACTAGCAACGGCAGCTTAAAAGATTAGAGAGGAAACTCAGGGGGCAGCGCGTTCCTGCTAATGGAGGAGGGAAAAATCAGGAAAGGAGATTGAAAGTGGTTGTAATCAAAGAATGTCATCTAGTTCTCATTTGTACTGTTGCCCTGGCGTGCCCTTTGCTGGGTATATTCTCCAAAACAGCCACCACCACAAAATTAATAACTGCTTAGAAATTCAAAGATCCATTTGATTGATTGACATTTACTACTAATGCCTGTATCAGTCACCCTTGAATACACATCTTCATTATGAAAAAGCAGTGGGCTAAGTGCTTTGGATCACACCCAAGGAACAGGCCAAACCTCAGCTCAAGCATTTTGCAATTTACTAGATAAGTATACACAGAAAGAAAAGACCAAGGGGTCATAATGAGTCCCTAGCAAGAGCATGCATCTGTAGCAAACTCAAGAATACTCACGTGCACTAGTGATGGGGCCCTTAACATTCTAAACATCAAAAAAGCACTCACATGATCAAGGGAGAAAGAGCAATGGAGATTCTACCCTGTGCTGGAAATAGTAAGTCTCACTTCAAAATTGGTGTAAGCTCTTAACAGACCTACACTCACTTCCTCCAGCACCCCTGGGTCTCGGACCACTGAGGGGTGAACAGGCGTTGTGAAAGATCAGCCTTTGGAAGTACAGCTAGAGAAGCGTGTAAGACTGAATTCCAAATGTTGACCATGGGCAACAGAAGGTGTTATGCTTCTTCAAATGCTTCTCCTTTTTCTTCTTGATTATCCCTAAGAGGAGCTCACTATGACTCAACATTAGGGTCTCTGTTAAGTCACCTTCTCCTCATTCATCCAAGGGCCCCCAACTTCCTATGAGCTCTACTTCTCACTACTCATAGAGCATCAGAAAGAAACTCTCTTACCTTTGCTATGAAAGAGCTTTTCTAAGGGGTGGGGGTGGGGGTGGTTTCACTGCCATTGAGTTGATTTCAACTCAAATCTACCCTATGGGACAGGGCAGAACTGCCCTTGTGGGTTTCTGAGACTGTAACTCTTTAAGGGAGTAGAAAGTCCCATTTTTCCCCTGAAGAGCAACTGGTGCTTTTGAACTGCTCACCTTGGAGTTGACAGTCCAACACATAACCACTGCACCGCCAGAACTCCTCAGGGAGCATCAGGGTGTGGTGAAATTTAACAGAGTGGAAAAACATAGATTTGAGCAATCATAGTGTCTTTTTACTCTCCACATGGGTAAATGCTGCCCTTTTGATCTTAGATGAGTTTTTATTCTAAGGTGTGCAAGCCTCACTAATACCATTGTTCCCCTTACAGACCTGTCGACTGTTTAGCTGAAAATTGAGCCACAGAGGTGTATGACTCTCTCCTATCCTCCTCCTCTTTCAATCCCAACCTGAAGGGTGACAGGGCAATAGTCTTGGGTACTCTATGAGTCTCTATTCAACCAATAACCCTAGTGTCTTTCATGATTTTGATTTTTGTTCCACATTTTTCTCCCACTTTGATTTGTGTTTTACATTTTTTCTCCCACTCTAGCCAAGATCTTCTAATACCATACCTTTCAGAGCAGTTGGTAGAAGTAGCTGGGCGCCATCTAGTTCTGTGGGTCTCAAGGTCCCTAATGTCTTTACGATATAAGAATCTTTCTGCATTATCCCAAATGTTCATCAAGTCTACCCAAAGATGAGGAACTTACTTCCCCAAAGGACAAACTACTCCATCTTAAAATAGCCCAGTTTTCCCAAGACTTCCTTGAGTTGCTCCTAATTCTAACTTTCAAGGACACCTCAAAGTCACTGCCATCGAGTTGACGCCAACTCATAGTAACTGTAACACAGGGTCGAGCTGCCCTTGTGAGTTTCAGAGACTGTTTATGGAAGTACCAAGCTGAGTCTTTCTCCCGAACTTCGGCCAGTGGTTTCGAATTATCAACCTTGTGATCCCAACTCAAAGCACCACCACCAGGGCTCTTTAAGGACGTTTAGAGCCAGTCAAATTCCTTTCCACAAGACAGCCCTTCTGATGTCTGAAGGCAGTTCTCAGGTCTCTTGGGAGCCCTTTATTTGCAGGGGATACACGTGGACTTCCTTCAAGATATAACTTGGTTCCAGATCTTTTCATTGTTTCATTTAATCTCTGAATGTTTTAGTAAAACGTGTTGTCTATATCACTCTTACAACCTAGTCCCTGTGAAAGGGATCACAATAGCCTTGGATAGAGTGGGAGAAAAATGTGGAACAAAAGTCAAAATCATTAAAAAAAGACTTACTGGTCTGATAGAGCCTGGTGGACTCTAGCAGTACTACGGATACCTTAAGTTCTAGAACTGACCTTACCTCGGTGGCTCGACTCTCAGATAAATAATCCAAACTGAATCAAACTCACTGCCATTGAGTTGATGCTGACTCATAGCAACCCCGGGGGGGTTTCTGAGACTGTAGCTGTTTACAAGAGCAGAAAGTCCAGTCTTTCTCCAATGGAGCTGCTGGTGGTTTCAAACTGCCAACCACGCAATTGCAGTCCAATGCATAACCACTACACCACCAGCGCTCCTCAGATAAATGATAGTCAGACCTATAAGGTGAACAACATCGCCAAGGAGGTGTACATTCTTTAGAACAATCATCCATAGGAGATCCAGGGCCAGCATGGGCAGGGATAAAGCTCAGAATGCAGGGAGGGACAGGAAAGAAGCATGAGTGGAAGTACGCTGCTCCCTCATGGGGAGTGCAGTCAGTCACATGGTAGGTATGAACTGCTGAACGAGAATCATCTTGCGCTGTAAACTTTCACTCAGATCACACTAAAACATTTGTTGTTGTTGTTGTTGTTGTTGTTGTTCAAATCCCGTCTCTGAAACTCCCTGCTATCAAGTCGATTCTGATTTACAACAACCTCACAGGACAGAGTAGAACTCCCCTGTGAGTTTCTGAGACTGCAATTCTTTATGGGAGTAGAAAGCCCCATCCTGCTCCACGGAGCAGCTGGTGCTTTCAAACCGTTGATCTTGCGGTTAACAGCCCAAGGCTAGCCAGTATGCAAGGCTCCATCTGGTCTCTACAGATGAATATAATACTGGAGACATACACTGACCATTTTAGGCACTTAATTATTATGCTTTTATTAATATAGTCTAAAACTGCATTCAACTCTGTGGTGGTCACATGCCCCAGCTGGGTTGTACTGTGCTTACTGTAGATTAAAAACCCTTAACTGCAAATGCTTCCCACCTGCTGAGGAAATAATTGATTTTCATTATTATGACTCCGTCACACAGCTGGGAGCTACCCCAGAAACTGTGTAACAAAGTGACATCTTTCATGCTCTCCCTCCATCCTTTGTACTGGAGCCCCAATTATAGATCCAAATGATTGTTTCAACAACCTAGGAAAAATAGCACGCCTTGCCCAAGAAATCGCTATGGGAGGATCTCTGGAGCAATCCACTCGGAGTTCTGTGACTGCAGAGTGAGGACTGAAGCAGAGCTCTGAGCAAGGTCCCCTTTTAGCATCCCCGAAACGATCAGAGAGCCCTGGGGAGAGGCATGGAAGGACAAGGGAATCTTTCTGATCTTTAAGGGAGAAGAGAGGGGACCTGCCCTCAACTAGCCATTTAAGTCACACTTTAGTAATGACTAGACTGTGTGGACCATGTCCTGTTAGGCATCGTATGATACTGACTGACTGACTGAACAAATGTTGAAGGTTTGTGTTTTCTCGGTGTCTCACATTATGTCTTGGGGTGAAGAGGTATTCAGTTACTAATTTAGAACATTAGCTCACTGGGTAATTTTGTGTGTTTGTGTGTGTGTGTGTGTGTGCGCGCTGAGGATAGATTTCACAATTTCTTGAAAAAATAAAATCTAAGCATAAAGCTGGTTTTTTAATTTATTGGAGTCTAAAGTTTAAAATAAACTCACATGGAAGCAGAGAACAAAGCAGAAGGGACAAAAGAGCATGGGCGACGGGGTCCATTCCTTCACTGCAGAAGAGCCTCCAGCAGCTCCCCCATGGCTGCCACCGAGCCTACACGTGCTAGCCTGGCCTGAAGACTTCGATTACCCAGAGTCCTTCCTTTTCTAGCCATTCTCCCGAGGTCTGGACACCTGTGATGTTGCCTAAGCAATTTCTGTAGCCCAGAGACATTCCACCTGCTCTCCAGCAGGCTCCATCCAGCATATCTTTCAACATTCAAACAGCCTCCACTAAGAAGTCATCTCTGGCTAGCGGCATCCCACACTGATTATCCTTGTTCTTTCCCTATAGCATATGGACAGCCTGTAAGACATTATGTTGCTTATTATTTTTACCAAAGAAGGTAATGCTTGAGAAGTGACTTCATAAGCATTGATATTTTATAATTTTTATAACTTTAACATGGTAAATTTTTATCATTAAAAAAATAATTTATTTAAAG